TGATTCAGTGGCGATTTGACGAATCTGTCTAAACCAGTTTCAAGTGGATGTTTGCAAACCACTGATACACAGCCTCAGCTCTGTCGGCCTGGCTTTTGTCACTGTTTAGTTCTCTCATATCTGTTGGCTGCATATAGAGTTCAAAACCCTCGTCTTCAAAGCCCTACTCCTTTCTACCTCTGTGACCTGCTAACACCATACAGACCCTCAGCCTCTCTGCCCCCACCCTCTGGAACTCCACCCCACAGTCCCTTCGCCTCGTTCCCACCCTCGCCTACTTCAAAGCCCGTCTCAAGACCCTCCACTTTGACCAACCCTGCATTCGGTCACCCCTCCTACCCCCACCCCCACCCCCCCCACCGATCCCAACCCCTAGCTAACAAATCCGTGACTGTCCTGACGTCCTCCTGACATTAAAGGCGCTGTACAAATGTAACTTGTTGTTGTCGTTGCTGCACGGGGGAATTTGAAAACTCTTGAGAATTGGAATCTGCGATGGTTTCTCTGATTGCGTGGTTTAACTTGGGTGACAGTGATCGGTACGGAGTGGGCAAACAAGTTTATAACTGATATGAAGACAAGGTTTCAAATTGCATTTAAGGGTAAGGCAGCGTAGGTTGCCACAGGAGACGTGAAGTGTGTAGATTGGCTGAAATCTTCAGTGAATGTGGAACTGGGCAACAAAACATGTTATGTACTGGAAGGCAGGTCAAGGTCACTTTGAGAGCAAAAACTGCTGTGCCTTTTGCATTCAATAATCTCTAGAAGCGCAGTACAAACCTACATTTGATCACTGAATACTATGGGAAAGAGCAGAGTTTTGTGCTGTCTGACCAAAGATAGAACCGTGGAAATTTAAGGCACAGAAGAAGGCCTTTCGGCCCACTGTGTCTGTGCAATCCCTTCAGTGCCATTTACCTGCTCTTTCCCCGCATCCCTGTAGCTGTCTTTCTAAGGTATTTCGGATGAGACGTTAACACTGAGGTTTAGGCTCGACTGCGCCAACTCCCTGCTTGTCTGCCTTCCCAACTCTTCCCTCCGCAACCTGCAGATTATTGTGTCCTCTCCCGCACCAGGCTCCATGACCTTATCATCCCCACCCTCGCCTGGCTCCACTAGCTCCCCACCCCCGCAGAGGATAGAGTTCAAAATCCTAGTCCTCGCTTTCAAAGCCCTCCATGGCCCCGCTCCTCCCCTAACCTCTGTGACCTGCTAACTCCATATCAACCTGTCTGCTCCCTCTGCTCAGCGGGCTCCTGCCTGCTCCACGTCCCCCGCCCAGCCCACCATCGGCGGTCGGCCCTTCAGCCTCTCTGCCCCCACCCTTTGGAACGCCGTCCCGCAGTCCCTTTGTTTTGCTTTCTCCTTTGCTTCCTATCAGGTCTTTGAGACGTCTTAAAAACACTTCACAGAATATACTGTAAAGTGAATTTACTGTATTTTGCGGGCGAAACGCGGAAGCCAATTGCGCCCAGCAATGTCCCACAAACACTCGTGGATTGAGTGACCAAATTATTACTAATATCTTTTGAAGGGTTTATTACATCCGGAAAAGCGACCCATCAATCGACTAAAAACCGGGTTCCTACTTACTGCGAGGTAAACAGAGGGCTGTGGAGTAAGGCAAACTTGCCTGAGTTTTCGCCTCACCCGGGAATCAAAACTGGTCCTCTCGCTTGCGAGGCGAGTTTAATAGATGAGAATTGTAGCAGTTCTAAGTACAACTGACGTCTCTGTCACTGGAGTAATGAGGATGAAAAGGGAACATGATCCAGGTCTTTAAATGGAGAAAGGCTCGTGTGGCATTGATGCAATCAGGCTATTGAGCTTCACTTGCGAAAGAAGACAAGGAAGAGACATTAAACCCAGCTCCCATCTGTGCCCTGTTCAGGCGGAGGTTAAAGATCCCGCAGCGCTATTCGAGAAGAGAGTTTCCCTCCCCAGTGTCCCAACCAACAACCCCCAAATAAAACAGATCATTCACTTCGTAGCTGTTTGTGAGACGTTGCTGTGCGCAAATTGGCTGACAGCTACGCCCACAAAACACCAGGTCTCTACGTTTTTACAGTAAAGCGCTTTGGAACATCCTATCAAGGTGAAAGGCGTTGGTTGTGTCAAATGGAAGGATTATTGTTATAAGTTCGCCAGCCTAAGATGAGTCGAGTTGTGTACGGGTTTTTTTATATATATTTGGGAAAACACGGCAGCTATTTTGCACGCAGCAAAGCTCCACTAAGAGCCATGAAGTGATTAAGCGGTATATCTGGCCAGAACACTGGGAAAAGCTGCCTTTGTTGTTCAATAGTCACAGGATCTTTAATTTGCATGGACATGGTCTCTGACAAAGCATCGCTCCCCCAGCTGAATGTGAGAGCTGCTAAATCAGGCTGACACCCTATTCGATCACTTCCGATTTTCACCTCAATTTTAAGTCGCCATGGCTTATTTGAATTTGCAGCAGTAACCTTCTGAGTGTCGTATTTAAGCTCCTTTAAAGCCCCGCGATCTGTATAATAGACAATGCACAGGGGATGATAAACTCGTCTGAGTATCAGGACTCTGCTATTTTCTTGATGAATGGAAGGCAGTAATCTAATCTGCTTTGTTTCATCCCTTACCCTGTCATGTTAAACTCTCAATTTGATTACCTTAATATAACCTGATCTCTGAGAGATTTTCATTTTCTCTCAGCTCCTGAGAAGCGAATGGCCTGTATTGTCCAATGTAGATCTATGAGACATAGGAAGAGGCCATTCAGACCCTGGAGCCTGATCCGCCATTCTATAAGATCGTGGCTGATCTGTACTTCAACTTCAATTACCCGCCTTTGCTTCACATCCCTTTGATGCCCTTATCTAACAAACATCTGTTCAACTCAGTCTTGAAAATGTGAATTAAGGTTGCTCCCCTGATTTATCAGTGGACTGTTCCTGCAATGTCATAAACGTAATCCCTGTTATAGAATTACGCGGTTTGTTCAACCCATAGCCCCAACCAATTGGAGTTTTGCCTAAAGAGCGGGGGGTAGGAGAGAAAGTTGTTCCCATAAAGTGAGAGGATGGGGCATTGCAATGTCTGAGAAAGGGTGGGGTTAACTGTTACGATGACTTGGGGCTAATCAAGTAACACGTTTGAATAATGCAATAGGCAGAGACATATGCTTCCTGGAGTTGGGTGTTTCGTCAAAGGTTGCATGTAGCTGCTTGAGAATTGCTATAATGCTGGTTCTCGGTTGCCGTTCACTGCAGGAACAACGGAACTACTATATTGTGTGCATGTGCTGTTGCTGCTAGTGTTCAGGGGCTGCGTTCAACAGGACGGAGCCACACAAATAGGGGCATGAACAGAAAGGAAGGCGATGGGTGAGTCAGGTTGACATTTATTCCACAGGGAGGAGTTTCCTGTGGAAAATCACAAGGCTTGGTGTGCCTTCCCACGTTCTGGCTGTTTTTATTAGCAATTCCTAAATTTTTATGGATTCTTTGACAGACCACTGCAGTACAAGGCAATGCAATTCTCTCCCTGCCTGACTCAGTGATAATATGATAAGGACAAGTTTAGGACAGACATCAGGAAGTTTCTTACACTGATGTGAATCGACAGCAGGAACAAACTAGCAGAAAGGATGGTGGCATATTAAATGTAGTTGACATTTCCAGTGTAAACATTGTAGGAGGTGGTGAGATGTCAGGTGAGGTTACTGCAAATATGTTCTACCTGCTTTTACACAGCGCCCCTCACGCAGTGTAGCGTTCCTGAGTGCTTGACAGTGGCGGAGCACGACACCGAGCCGGGGGGAGGTGACCGTAAGCACGGTCGAAGAGGAAGGTCTTCAGGCATGATCTGAAGATGGGGAAGGAAGAGAGCAAGGTGGAGGGGTTGGGGGGAGAAAGTGATAAGAGTTTCGGGTCGTAGTGGCTGAAAGCGTAGCCACAGAGGGCACGAAAGACAAGCAGGAGGCCGGAGCCAGTCGAATGGAGGCAGCAGGTAGAGGGTTGGGGAGCGAGCGGGTCGGGGAGGTAGGGAGGTGCTAGGGCATGAAGGGATTTGAAAACGAGTGCGAGGAGCTTGACATCGAATAAATGTAAGATTTCAGTTTCATAAAGAAATCATAATCCCTGCATTTGGTATCGTGCCTTTGGGTCAGGATGTTCTAAAGTGCTTCACAGTGAAACAGAGCGTCTGCATATTTTGTGGGCAAATGTGGCAGCCCAATTCCAGCAATGTCCCACAAATAGCCATGAAATGAAGGGCCAATTTATTTGGTGGATGGTTGGCTAGGGGAGGTAGCCTTCTCTTTTCGAATAGTGTTATGGGATCTCTAATGTCTACCTGAACAGGCAGACAAGAAAGGGCCTTGGTTTAACGTCTCATCAGAAGGATGGCACTTCTGACAGTGAAACGCACCCCAGCATTGCAATGGAGCGTCAGCTTAGACGACGTGAGTTCACGTCCTGAGGTGGGGCTTTGAACCCTTAACTCTCTGAAATGCAGAGAAGAGTTCTGCCGACTGAGCCAAGCTGTCGTCAAATTTTATTTCACTTGTTGAAGAGGAAGCAGTTTATTTTCATTTGTAGTTCTTTAGTGCCTGAGGATGAAACTGATAGCTATTCATTTTGTGTAATCTTAAAACCGACTGACAGACAGAAATATGCCATCTTTGTCTCAGCGGAGCATTTAAGCTGTCTATTCACTGCAAGGCTCCCGGTAGACTCACAAAGCAGTTATATGTACGCGGTTTTTCCAAACCTCTTCCACGCCCAGGTTTTCCTTATCCCCGTAGTGATTTTCCTTCAGTTCCCACTTCCCCTTGCACCCTACAGGAATGGAAATTTTGGCTTGCTGTTCTTAACAACGGTCAACATTTCAATGTGCATGAAACATGAGCGTGAAACATTTTAACACCGACTGCTCCATGATGTAATTCTGTCATTTGAATCTATCTCTTCGCCTCTCGACGTGAAAGGCGCTATACAAATGTAATCTTCTTGTTGTTTTAGGTGATTTGAGGAGCTGTTCCTATTGAGCCCTGAAGGATGTCACACCGAGAGTTTATTGAGGTTTCCACCAATGAACGAGAGATACAATTTGACCCGAATGAGCTCCAGCTGGATGAGGATTTCATTGACCACGTTGATGGGGAAGACAATCCAGGTAAGACCTTGCTTTCTGCTTTAAAACGTTGTTGGGTTGAATGAACGTGGGTATATTATCGATGAAAATAATAATAATCCTTGCATTTGATACCGTGCCTTATCACGTCATCGAGACGTCTCAAAGCGCTTCACAGAATATACAGTAAAGTGAACTAATGATAAAAATAATCCTTGCATTTGATATAGTGCCTTATCACGTCGTCAGGACGTCTCAAAGCGCTTCACAGAATAAGGTGTAGTGACTGTATATTTTGTGGGAGAAACATGGAAGCCACTTGCGCACAGCAATGTCCCGCACACTATCGTGGATTGTGCAGCTACACCAATCCATACGTACAGCGTTAGTGTGTGAACCTGTGGTCACATGAGAACAGGCGAGTTGAGTATCACGCTGTCATGTGCTTTTAAGTAGCTCTGACTGGATCTGATTATAGAAGTGCTTGCAGTAACTGTGCTCCTCATCACACCAAATTTGCTATTAGGATCCAGCTTGGCTGTGGTGCTCATTCCTCGTCTGTCATTGTCCCCTAACGGCAGCGAAATGTGATCCTAAATTCTAATTTTTATTTTAATATCTAAACTAAAGCAGCACAAGGACAGATCTCAGGGGTATATAGAAACAGGAGTAGACCATTCAGCCCCTTGAGCCTGTGAATCTTTTAACCGTACAGCATAGAAGGAGGCCATTCGGCCCATCGTGCCTGGGCCAGCTCTTTGAAAGAGAGCCCGTTCCCCCCCTCTCTTTCCCCACAGCCTTGCAATTTTTTTTTCCTTTTTAAGTACCTATCTAATTCCCTTTTGAAAGCCACTATCAAATCTGCTTCCACCACCCTTTCAGGCAGCGCGTTCCAGATCGTAACAACTCACCGTGTAAAACAATTTCTCCTCATCTCCCCTCTGAGAGATATTTGTATTAACTAATTTGTCAGCCTTAACTGTGAATATCAGCAACTATTCAATTGTGTTCGACATAATAGCTGGCCACTAATACAGTCCAGCAGCACCCACAACTGTGATGCCGGCCATTGCTAGAGAGCGACTTTTCCCTATCCCGGTTAGATACTGAGACTAATTATGATAATAATAACAGTAATAATAATAATAAATAAGCACTCGAGACACTATCCGGAGTGAAGGGCGCCATCTAAAAGCAAGTTGTTGTTGTAATTATCGGCGTCCCGGTCACAACTACTCGCTGTATAAAACTGTAACTTCTTGTGCTGCCTTTATTTGAACGAAACCTATTGAATGTTTTACAATGACAGCTATAAATCTGCTTTCAGAGAAGTTCCTGAGTCCGTTTTTATTGGTCTACAACATAAAGCCTTTCAAAGAGTGCAACCGACAGGTGTTTATGAGAGGAGTCCCAGTGATTGCTTACATTGAAGGCATTGAGCGTCACCTCCGGGGATTCAAGGTGAACATTTATAGCATCAGTAATAATAGTAATAATAATCCTGCCGTAGAGGAGGTAGAGAGGAGAGTAACAACGATGATCCCCGATGTTAGAGGAATGAGCTATGAGCAACAATTAGACAAGCTAGGAACTCTTCGGTCTTGAGAGAAGATGCCTCAAAGGAGACAACAACAATAACAACAAATTACATTTCATTAGCGCCTTTCATGAGACCCTGTAGAGGTGTATAAAATGGCATTTAAAAAGTAATCCCAGTTCTTTCTTTACCCAAAGGCTAACCAACTGGAACAGGTTGCCAGGAGAGGTGGTTGAAGGCCATGGGATCTTTAATGTCCACCCGAAAAAGCTTTAATGACCTCTGACAATGCAACAACAACAACTTGCATTCATATATAGTACTTTTCAAGCAGGGTAGCGTCCCAAAGCGCTTGACAGTGGTGGAGCACGATGTCGAGCCAGGGGGAGGGTGGGGGGATGTGACCGTAGGCACGGTCGAAAAGGAAGGGCTTCAGGCGCAATCCAAAGTTGGGGAGGGAGGGATAGAGGAAAAGTATTCAAGAGTTTCAGGGCGTAGTGGTTGAAAGCGCGGCCACCGATGGTGGAACGGAGAGCACTAGGGACATACAGGAGTCGGTCACAACCCCAGCACTGTGTTGGAGAGTCAGCTGAGACTATGTGAGTTCCAATGATGTGGGGACTACTGACTCGGAGGTGAGAGTGCTACCGACTGAGCCAGGCTGATTTACAGCGGGTCCTTGTCGGACAGTTGGTCAGAAAGGTGCTGGTGTTTCGTCTTGCGAGCTAACCTTCCATAACATAACATGTAGGAGCAGGAGTAGGCCATTCGGCCCTTCGAGCCTGCCCCGCCATTCAATCATGGCTGATCTTCTAATCTAACTCCAGCTAATAACCTGACCCTGCCTTATCCCCATATCCCTTAATGCCTTTTGCAATAAGAAATCTATCCTTTTTACGTCTTTGCTGAAGGTGCGGCCGAGCACTCTCTACATGGTGCGGATTGTGCACGGCGACTTCACGTGGACGGTGAAGAAGAAATTCAAGCACTTTGAAGAACTCCACCGAGAACTTCTGAAGCACAAATTAAAGCTCCAGGTCATTCAGCCCTTAACCAGGTATGTTTCCCCCTCATTCAGTCTGAGTGCCAATCCTTGTTTGAGTGAGCACCACATCCTATTAGTTAAGTCAACAAACTGAAGACTAACGTAGCTGCACATCTGTTCCAACGTTATGCCGTTGGGGATGAACTGCGGAATTCTATGAGTGAATTTGAGTCAGACTACTCAGTGTGGGGGACACTGCTGTGCGCTGTTGGCTGCCGTGTTTCGCCCACAAAATACTACGTCGCTCCATTTTTCAATATATACTGTGAAGCGCTTTGTGACGTCTCAACGACATGATAAAACACTATATCAAATGCAAGGATTATATATTATTATATTATGAAGCGTTTTGAGGCGCCTCGACGATACAAGGCGCTATGTCAAATGCAAGGACTATTATTATTATATTATTATTATTATCATCTATAGGCTTAAATCCATTCATGGGAGGGGGCATGCATCAGGAGCCAGGCAAGAACCAAGGGCTGCCTCAGTACCAGCTCTTCCTCGCCAGCCACAGTGGACCTCCATGAGAAGTGCTTCTAGTAAACAGGTAAGTCAAGGGGGGAACCCATCTCTGGCTCAATGAGAGTGAGCGAAAGACCGCTACACACTGGCTTTACTCAGTCTGATATTTGGTTACCTTAGAGCCAGCTCAGCCTGAAGCAGACTTGTGTTTTTCTCTCTCTCCCCAGCCCCAGCCCCCAGCCCCCACAAGGAGGATTTTTTTTCTCTCTCTCGTGGAATTGGTTTGCATCGTTGCCGTTAATGATCCCGAATCCAATTATATCACCAAGACATTATTGCCTGATAGCAGAGCTAAGGAAAAGATGCCTGAGGGCATTGATGGGCTACTATTAAAATCTCTGGCATCCTCAGGATAATTGTGTCTTCTTGCAAATTGTGCAATGACGCTGGAGGTCACATAATTTCTGCTGTCTACAAAATGCAATAGCCTGTGCTCCGAGCCAGCTATGATATCCATCAGAAAAGCCAGACTACAAGCGGGGGATTGTGTGAGAGCTTGGCTCAATTGGTAGCACTCTCATCTCAGTCAGAAGGTTAGGGTGGTGGTAGGGGGGGGCAGTGCTGTGTTGTTGGCGGTCCCGTTCTTCGTTACATTAAACCGAGTCTCCATCGTCTGCCTGTTCTGGTGGACATTAAAGTTCTCATGGCCTTATTCGAAAAGAGAAGGGAGTTTCTCCCGGTGGCCGAGCCAACAATTCCTCCCCCTTCCCCCCCATTAAATTTGGCCATTGACTTCACGGCTGTTTGTGAGACATTGCTGTCCACAAATGACAGAGTCACTGCACTTTACTGTATAACACGTGAAGCGCTTTGGATTGCCCGCCCGATGGTGACAAGATGCTGTATCAAATATAATCATCATCATTATTATCAAAATATAAAATTGGCCACTCGTACCCCGGTTGTTTGTGGGTCACTGCTTAGGGTAACTGGCGGTTGCTTTTCGTCCACAACCTACACCGCCAATCCACTTTACAGTATACGCTGCAAGACATCGCAACGATGTGATAATACCAAATGCAAGGATTATTATTATTATTATTGAAGGTTAAAGACGAAAGTCTGCACCCAAAACCTTGATTTTATCATTTGTCATTCCCCACGTCATGAATTCTGTGTGGTTTGACATGTGGTAATAGAAAAATTACTCTGCCAACTCTTTGCTCTCCCCACGCTGTTTGCACTGCGTGTGTCTGTTGGGTTATGGTTGCAGCACATCGACTTGTCTACCCACACTCACAATGGGGGGTTGCGGGCACCGTGTGCAAGAAGCGAAAGGAAATGCAGAAGATGCATAATGATGTGTGGGAGTGAATATATGAATTTGAAAAAAAATATTAAATAATTTATCCATCTGGGCTTTTGGAGTCCTGTAGCTCAGTGGTTAGATCACTTGCCTCACACGCGAGAGGACCTGGGTTTGATTCCCGTGCTGAGCGAAACGTTGGGTAAGTTTCCTTACGCCACACACACGCCTCCGTTGACCTAGCATTATGTAGGAGCCCAGGTGTTAGTCGAATGGCGGATGGCTTTTCCGGGAGTAATAATCCCTTCCAAAAAATAATAATTAGGTCACTCAGTCCACGACTGTTTGTGGAACACTGCTGTGCGCAATTGGCTGCCGTCTTTCGCCCCCAAAATATGCAGTCAATTCACTTTACAGTTTCGTCTGTGAAGCGCTTTGAGATGTCTTGAAGACATGATAAGGTGCTATATCAAATGCAAGGATTATTATTATTTTGTTGTGTATTTTTAGAAACGTCTGGAAGAGTATCTGAACATACTGCTTGAGAAGACTTTCTACAGAAACTACCATGGAATGGTAACATCACACCCTGACTTCTCTTCCTCCTGATGTCTGTCCTACGATTTCTAAGGGTATCTTCCGAACTTCCGATTTCAGTCTTCTGGTATCTCCGTTAGGAGCTTTTTGGGTTACGTCTGATTTCCTTCATGCCCTCTGTATCCTAACTCCTAAATCAGGAGACAGTTTTTCACTCAAAGGGGAGTGGAAATCTGGAACTCTCTCCCTCTCCCAAAAGGCTGTGGATTATGGCTCGATCCATTCACATTTTGAAGACTGAGGATAGAGGTCCTGTTAGGTCAGGGGATCAAGAGATATGGGGCAAAGCCGGTTAACTGGAGTTGAGTCATGATCTATTAGAACAGCGGAACAGGCTCGAGGGGTTGAATAGCCTCCTTCTGTTCATATATATATATATATATATATATAAATTATGTATGTATGTAGCTGACCATGATTGGAAGAAGCTCTTTGTTAACTTTTCTATGACCTAGTAGCTTCATTCTAACAGGAATGAGATACACTGACAGGCTGACTGCTTTCTATTTCGCTGTGCAACTCTGCTTGGGAGTCTGATGCTTTGCTTTGGGTCATTAAACGGCAGTTAAGTTCCATACATTTCATTTCAGATGGCATTTCTGGACGTGAGCGAATTGTCCTTCGTTCAAGACTTGGGTCCGAAAGGATTGTAAGTGAATTTTTTTTTTTTTGTCCAATTGAAATTGAATGCCGCAGAGTAACTATGCCAACTGAGCCGAAAGGGTTCAGAACATTTTGGCCAATGGTGGTTGTTTGCATATGTGTGTGTCTGTGTGTTTTCTCCTTTTCTAAGTGATGTAGAATAAAGCTGGACAAATGAGTGTCTTCTAAACAGACATTTTACATTAGAATTGATTGTTTGTGGACACGCACTGACTGTTCTATTCTGATCCCATGATTGCTTTTATCTTAGTATGCCCCGCAGCACTTTTTTCTTTGTTCCCTTTATAAAAACGAACAGCTGATTTCAAAGCTGAAGTGATCGGCGGAACAGCCCGTGTATAATTTTCCAAGGTGACATGTTTTGACGAGAAGATGCTGCATTGCGTGTCCTTGAGCTTTGCCAAGATGCTTGCCGATTGGCAAGTACTGCGACTTGTGCGTTGACATTTTGTGTCAGCATGCTAACTATTTGGGTTGTTGTAGAGCAGGGGAAGGTATGGGTTCAAGTCCGATCTGACCCATGACAATGATAATTCTTACATTTGTTACACCGTCGTTCAAATCAGAAGGACATTTCAAAGCACTTCACAAGATATACTGTAGAGTGGTGTGAACGTAGCAGCCAAATTGCATGCAGCAATGTCCACAAACAGCCATGGCAATGACCACATTTATTTGGGGGAATTGTTGACCAGGTCACCTGGACAGAGAAACTCCTTTCCCTTTTTGAATAGTGCCATGGGACAGGCAGACGGGATCTCGGTTTAGAGTCTTATCTGAAGGATGGACCTTTTAGCAGGATGAAGGACAACTGGGACGGAGCATCTCATATGGGTAGCCCCATTTCCGAGCAAAGAGTGATGGTGGCAGTCTGGGTGCATGGCTGGGAGAAGGGGTCAACAATAACAACAAATGACGTTTACACAGCACCTTTCACGTTGGTAGGACATCCCAAGGTGCTGGACAGTCAGGGATTTGGAATCGAGCAGGTGGTTGAGATCTGGAGGGGTGGAGGGCAGGGAGGTGGGGAAAGGAGGGTGCGGTTGAAGAGGAAGGTCTTGAGACATGCCTTGAAGGAAGCAAGAGAGTGAGCGAGGCGAAGAGACTGTGGGATTGAGTTCCAAAGGTTGGGGGCAGAGAGGCCGAAGGCCCGAGTGTTGATGGTGGGGTTTCCATCAGTGAAACATACTGGGATCTGCTGAGAGAGATTTGCAAAACAACAGATCCTGGAGATATCCAGTTGCTCAAGCTGATTCTCTGGAATCCGATCTCAAGGTTCACTTCCTGAATCTAGAACGTGGCCAAAGGAGTCTTCTCGTGTCCAGCAGAGTTCTTGAACATCAGTTGAGTCATCTGAAAAGTTCCCGGCTTTAGTTTTCTTGCTAGGATAGACGATAAACAAACTATATGTGTGCGTGAATGGTCCTAGCCAGCTGTCTCTCATTGAATATGGATGGTGGCAAGCAGAATAAACATATTGACATTGAGTTTAGTGAAATATACATGATTTAGTGTCTTGGGGTCAAAGTGTGAGCTTTCGTTTGCTATCGGCAGGGAAGGCATGATTGTAAAACGCTCCGGAGGACACAGGATTCCTGGCTTAAACTGCTGTGGCCGACATCGGGTTTGTTACAGGTGGTCAAAGAGGTAAGTGTGAATAATAATAATCCTTGCATTTGATATAGTGACTTATCACGTCTTCGAGACACCTCAAACTGCTTCACAGAATATGCTGTAAAATGAATTGACCGTATATTTCTTTTGGGAGAAACGTAGCAGCCAATTGTGCACGGCCGTGTCCCACAAACAGTCGTGATTGAGTGACCAAATTATTATTATATATTTTTTTAAAGAGACTATTACATCTGGAAAAGCGATCCGCCAATCAACTAACAACCAGGTCCTTACTTACTGCTAGATAAACAGAGGCATGTAGAGCAAGGAAACTTTCCCAACATTTCGCCCTGCGCAGGAATCGAACCCTCTCGCTTGCGAGGCGAGTGCTCTAACTACTAAGCTAGTGGCTTCACATGAATACTTAGTGCAGAGTAGATGACTAATATTTATATGTTGTCAGTAGTAGGTAGGAGGAAATATTTTGTGACAGGAGGCACACATAAGGCAACTGGTATTAGGTAGGAGTCAATTGTTCTCATTGTACTCTGTGTACTGTGCAATTCTATTAATAAAAACTTATGGAGATGGAAAAACAAATCTCAGTTCCCTTCCCCCTCCTGCCTCAACACTGTTGGGCCAACAGTATCAAAGAAACCAGATTTTAGGATAATGGCCTGAAGATTTCAGACAAAACATCACTAATGTTAGCAATTCCGTGGATTGTCTGTTCAGCACAACATACTGATTCAAGCTCAAAGTCTATTCCATGCTCGTTATTGTTGCTAAGCACTCTTCCACGTGGTAAAATGACATCCTTCAGGAACTTAAATACTTCAACAAGATGTCTCGTGGACATCCCCAATCTTCTCTAGCCTATCTTGATATCTTGGATGCTTAATTCTATTCAGTTTAGTTGCCCCTTGACTTCCCAATGCTGAGATGCGCTCGGTGCAATAAACTGTTGACAATTATACGCAGTACTCCAGAGAAGGTCACGTAAAGAAATGCTCCCAGTTCATAGGCCAAAAGGGCTGTTTGGGACTGTTGGCCAAACTGAGTCTTTATTTTGTCAGCCGGGTGTCTGACACATGTGGAAACGTACTGAGTGGGATGACTCCCTGCCGGTGACTGGTCTGCCCTCAAAGATCCATCCTTTTGGTTGCTGAGGGCCAGATGACCTATTTGAGAAAAGTCTGCGGGCCCATAAGCAAGCAATATTTTTGTGTTTCCCTTTCAGAAACATAACAACATTTACGGCTTATGGAGGGAGCGGGTAGAGGGTGGTTGGGAGAGGTGGGTGGCGGATGAAATTAGTCTGCCAGTTGGACCAACCTGATGTAACCTTACGTGAGTCACACGAACATCACTAAATCTGACATTGTTTTGCAGGTGGATGGTTATTAAGGATTCCTTCTTGCTATATATGAGACCCAGTAATGGGATCATCTCCTTTGTTTTGCTGTTTGACAAAGGATTCAATGTCCAAGTTGGCAGCAAGGATACTGGTGCTAAATATGGAGTGATGATTGAAAATCTGTCCAGGTTTGAGGCCTTTATTTTCTCTGGGTGTTTTCTCTTTACCTCAGCTTCTGTGTACGGTATTTGGTGTCTGTCATTTATAGGTGTACTGTTACCCAGTAAATGGATTGCAGTTTAGACCTTCCCACAATAGCTTGACTGCTGATAGTCAATGCCTTGTATCAAACAACAACACATTCATGCAGCGCCCCTCATGCAGGGTAGCGTCCCAGAGCGCTTGACGGTGGCGGAGCATGACACTGAGCCGGGGAAGCGGGCAGGTGACCGTAAGCACGGTCGAAAAGGAAGGTCTTCAGGCACGACCGGAAGATGGGGAAGGAGGGAGCAAAGCGGAAGGATTGAGGGAAAGTGTTCCAGAGTTTCAGGGCACAGCATAGTGGCTGAAAGCGCAGCCACTGATGGTGGAACCGAGGGCACGAGGGCAAGCAGGAGGCCGGGGCTGGACGAGCGGAGGCAGCGGGTAGTGAGTTGGGGGGGTAAGCAGGTCAGAAAGGTAGGGAGGTGCCAGGGCATGAAGGGATTTGAAGACGAATGAGAGGATCTTGAAATCGAACAGAGTCCTTGGTTCAATTCTAATTCAGGGGTGGGGGTTTGTTTGTGTACTGATACCAAGCTTTAACAGGATGCCTCTGTGCCTGCAAAAAATCTCAAAGTACCGTGTGCCGACGCAGAACAGTCTCACAGCTTTAACACACGACTTACAAACTCTCAGGTTGCTCACATTTTTGTAGGCAAATATAACAGCCTCTTTGCATCGAGCAGACACAAACAGCCATGAGGTGAATGACCAATTAATCCGGAGGGTTTTTTGGCCAAGGCACCGGGACAAACTCCCTTCTCTTTTTCAAGTCTCGTGGGATCTTTCAAGCCTACCTGGCTAGGCAGGTAGAGCCTCAGGTTAGCATCCCATCTGAATGTTGCCTCAGCCTTTCAGTGCCTTGGGACGTCCTCCCGACGTGAATGCTGCTATACAAATGTACAACAACTTCCATTTAGATAGTGCCCCTCATGCAGGGTAGCGCCCCAGAGCGCTTGACAGTGGCAAAGCACGACACCGAGCCAGGGGTAGGTGACTGTAAGCACCGTTGTTATTGGTGCCTCCTCCTCCAACTGGACTGCCACCATGAACTGTAAGATCCAGACCAATGTGGGGCTTGATTCCCACTATCTTCTGATCCAGGGGAATGCAACCCAGCAACTCTGAACTCACATCTAAAGACAAATTTGCTCCCCTGAGGTGGGTTGGTAACCAGAGGACACAGCTTTAAAATAACTGGCAAAAGAAACCGAGGGGAGATGAGGGGGACCTTTTTTTTTTTACCTGGAGATATTGTTACGGTCTGGAAAGCACTGCCTGAAAGGGTGGTGGAAGCAGATTGGATAGTGGCTTTCGAAAGGGAATTGGATATGTGCAGTATTCGAAAAGGAACAATGTGCAGGGCTATGGGGCAAGAGTGGAGGAGTGGGACTGGTTGGATAGCTCTTTCAAAGAGCCGGCGCAGGCAAGATGGGCCGAATGGCTTCCTTCTGTGCTGTAAGATTCTTAAGAACGGAAAACAACAACCCCCAAAAGTCTTAATTTTCATCAAGGCTTTGTCTAGTTCAACATTCAGTGTCTGCGGGGCTGTGATAAACCGGCATTAACTCCTCTGGGATTGGAAAGTGAACACGGCACCTTTAGAAACGCCACTCATCCATTCCCGCAATTTTTTTTTGATTTCTTTGCAATTTGTTCTCCAGGACGTTAATCATCAAATGCAGCAGTTACCGGCAGGCGTGCTGGTGGAAACAGGAGATAACCAATCTGGCTGAAAGGCACGGTCAAGATTTCCTGACGGAGCATCGATTTGATTCTTTTGTTCCAGCCCGACACAACATTCTGGCCCGATGGTAATTCTCACTCCCTTTGTATAACTGCTAAACTGCTGGTTAAAGTTCCTGTCAACTGCCTGATCCTGTCTTCAGAGTGAAATTAACTTTCCCCCCACCCTCCATTGAACAGAATGTCTTGCGAAGAGCTAGATCTCTGATGTTTTCGGCCTTGCACCTGGCTAAAAAAACGCCAGTCGACTCTGAAGGAACCGAACCCATCAGAGGTTTGCCCTAATGATGGCTTCTTGCTTGTAGGTTTGTGAATGGCAGTTCGTATTTCTCTGCTGTAGCAGATGCTTTGGAACAAGCTAAAGCTGAGATCTTCATCGCTGACTGGTGGTGAGTTTCTTGATTTTTTTTTGGTGATGGGGGAATGAATTGACTACCAGGAAATATACAGTCAATTCACTGTACAGTATATTCTACGAAGCACTTTGAGACTTGATAAATCTCTCAAATGCAAAATTTGTGTATTGCGTTTTTTCAAAGAAAAGTGCAAATTAATGTCTTTCACCCTCTGATTATTTATTCTTCCAGTTTACACAGAACGCGTTGATTAAGCAGCAACGAGATTGTGCACTCCGGAATCATAAATCAAAATGACTAATTCAATGACTGTTTGGAACAAGCAGCATTTTCCCATTGCTTGGGTGTTTTTTTTGTCAGCTAGAATATCCGACACATGCAGAAACCCGTCACTGTGCTTAACAGTATCCGAGTCAATTCTATGTTTGGTTTCCGTTTGTCTGGGGTGGAGTATTCTATCCCCAGAGACACGCAGACTGCACGTGTTTGTGGCACAAGGAGCTGGACTACCCACACTGCCTTGGCTTTTCCAGATAACGTTACAATTAAATCAGAAAAAAAGGGAATAATTAGCCCTGGTTTGAATTTGAACCCCTGCATAGAGAGATTACTGAATAGAGCCTCTCTTAAGAATATAAGAATTTGATGGACGAAAGAAGACCAAGGTCCATCCACTTCGGCTTCCGCCATCCTGGCAGTCACACGCACATGTTGGGTCCTAAATACTGTATCCCACGAAATTATTTCCTAAAAATAAATGATCTAATTTGCTTTTGAGAGTATCGACACTTTCTGCTTCCACCTTCTGTCTCCCTAGGGAGCCTGTTCCATATGTTTACTATTCGCTCGCTGAAGTAGTGTTTTGATAGATTTCTATCCTCTGCTATTGCTTTGATTATCGAGTTAAAGCAGTAAATAATACCAAGCTTCTGTTTTGTGGCAGGCTGAGCCCTGAAATCTACCTGAAAAGACCAGCAAAGGATGACTACTGGCAGCTGGATAATGTTCTGAAACGCAAAGCAGTACGTAACCAGTGAGCTGATCTCAGCCTTCATTTTATATCTACAACTAATAATGCGTGTTTAAAAATCAGGTCTGAGAATGAGAATCTAATAGAGTTTTCATTAATTGCACCATGGCATCCTTCATTCATAATGTGACCGTCTGCAGGTGGTAAATTGGTGCCAGAACAAGGGGGCATCTGTCCTTGGTTCTCTACTCTTTAATATTCACGTGCTCCCGCTCGGTGATATCATTACAGACATGGGGTTAACGTCCATATGTATGCGGGTGACATGCAACTCTATCTCTCTGCCTCCACCCTTGACTCCAGTCTGATGGATTGTCTGTCAGACATCAATTCCTGGATGAGAATCGATATTCTCCAGTTGAATGTTGACAAGACCGAGGCCCTCCTTTTTGGCTCCCATCAGCGTCTCCCTTACCGCCTTCAAGGCCCATCTGAAGATCTTCCTTTTTGACCGTGCCTTCGGTCACCCTTCTACCTCCACCTCACTTGACCTTCGCTCCTGTTGACTCCAACCCCCAGCTCGGGTGCAAACCTTTCCACTGTCCAACGCCTTGAGATGTCCTCCTGACATGAAAGACGCTGTATAAATGTAATTTGTTGTTGCTGCTGTAACTCTCTTCCCCATGTTTTAGAAATGTAATATAGAACTATAGTGAAGTATTTACCAAATGCCCTAGTGCCACCTAGTGGCAGAATTATGGAACTCCACCAATCTGCTTTGTTACATTGATAAGACGGTCCAATTTGTGCGCAGAAGATCTTGATCTCGTGTTCAATTGGGATACAAACTCTTCATTGGAGTCAATGTGGCAGAACTAGATCATGAACTTGTCACTTCTTGGGCCTATTTCTCTTCTTGATGCATCCACACTTTCAATATCAATTGAGAATACCTAGAGACTAGGTTGCCATGTTCTGTGCAGTACATTTTAGCACAACTCTCCCCCCTTCCTGGCATGTTTCTTACCAGTAAGAGTTGCCAAACGACACTGACAACTGGGATTTCCCATCTTTAATCTGGATCTTATGTGTATGTGTATGAATCTGTACATAATCTGACAGTTTATGTTCATTTTACCTCGGATTCTGAATCCAATTTAACGTCTTTTGGGTTAAAATGAACTGAATGAACTGCTTGATCCCTATTTAACGTACAGATAATGTTCTGCTTGTTTGTTTTTTCTCAGGAGCAGGGAGTGAAGATCTTTGTCTTGCTGTATAAAGAGGTGGAATTGGCACTAGGCATTAACAGTGACTATAGCAAGAGGACGTTGACATCTCTTCATTCGAATATAACGGTACAGGTTTTCATTTGTCTCAGTCTCAAATTGACAGCAACGTGCCCTGGCTCCACTTCACCTCTAGCGACAGATGTTAAGAGATTCATACAGGTTCAGAACATGTAATCTAATGCTCTTTCCTCTGCCAAACCCAGTTTGTTTGACCTATGATAACTGGTTTGAAACAACCCAAACTGGTACCTCATCATCATTATGCAAAGTGCAAGAATTAAAGAGTCTTTAAATCATAAATGAGAACCTGCTCGTTTGACATTTTTGAAGGTGGTGAATATGGGATCTGAAATAGCTTTCTATATCTTGGCTGGATCTGGCTGGATTCTGGTGTGCTCCACTCTGTCCACAGATTATTGGAAGATGTGAAATAAATGCCGATGAAGATGGTTTGGGAATTAAATCCTCTGAAATTCCTCCAATAAAACAGACTTAGTTACCATCACATTTCCCCACTCTGTCTACTCTCACTTTTTCTAAGTTTCCTTCTTCCACAAGCCTGTTCACCTAGCAGTAAGTAGGAACCCAATATCAAATGCAAGTATTATATAGTTAGTTCGCAATACAATATAATAAATATTTACAATTGCATAGTGTGTTACGTTGTGAGGACATCCCAATACTGATATAGCATCCAAGCCGGGAGTGTGAGCCGAGAGTGGGGAAGGGAAAGATAAAAATAATCCTTGCATTTGATATAGTGCCTCATCGCGTCCTTGAGACGTCTCAAAGAGTGCATTACAGAACATATTGTATAGTAATTGTACGTTTTGTGGGCATACCGCGGCAACCAATTACGCACCAGTGTCCCAAGGTGACTGAAGGGCAGTCAAAGAGGTCAGTCTTGAGTTGGACCTTGAACAACGGGAGGGAGGGAGGGAACGAGACGGAGCAGTTCCCGGGATGGAGTTCCAGAGGGTGAGGGCAGAAATGCATGAAGCAGGAAAGTTCCGAGGACTTGCCAACTTTGCCCCGTGTAATGCATTGTGTTCTTCACCCAAATGACTCAGCTTTTCTCCTTTCTTTCTTCGAGCAGGTGATGAGGCATCCAGATCACGTCTCCTCGACCGTACTGCTGTGGGCGCACCATGAGAAACTGGTGGTGATTGATCAGTCGGTAGCATTTCTCGGTGGAATTGACCTGGCGTACGGGCGGTTTGATGATCATGAGTATCGTATCACAGACTTGGAAAACCCAGATCAAGTCGATCACAAGTCCGAGCTGGTATATGATTCAAAAATTTTGAACAACAAGTGACATTTACACACAAAAACAGAGAGAGCTGGGAAAACTCAGCAGGTCAGGCAGCATCTATGGAGAAAGGAAAGTGAGTCAACATTTCGGGTCCACGACCCCTCGTCAGTGCCTTTCACTTTGGGAGGACGTCCCAAGGTGCTGGACATTCAGGGATATAGACCCGAGCAGGGTGCTGGGATCAGGAGCGGTGGAGGAAGGCAGGGAGGGTAATAAATCCAGTGTATAGGTGTTGTTCTTTTGTTCTTTTTTTCCTTCAAGATTCTTGATCACAACAACGCAGACCATTCAGAGAGGCATCAGGAAAGTGAGGACTTCAGCAATGAGAAGCCTAAGGAACATCTGCTTATTCCTGACCAAACAAACCAAAAGTTCTGGTTAGGAAAAGACTATTGCAACTTCATTCTGAAGGATTGGGTGCAATTGGACAAGCCTTTTGAGGGTAAGATAAAGCTCACTGATCTTGTGTCTTAACTGTCCAGCCTTTTATCTTTGAAACTCTGAAAGATTGATGTTTGTTATCTCCTCTGTAGACTTCATCGACCGATGCACGACTCCACGCATGCCATGGCGTGACATTGGCGTGGTGGTGCACGGCGGAGCGGCACGTGATGTAGCCCGGCACTTCATACAGCGATGGAACTTCACCAAGGTAGCATCTCAGGAACCAAAAGTTTCCACGATCCAAAGCTACATTCTTGTGCTTTGTATTACCATTTTTTTCCAGAAAAATATTGAAACTGCTGTTCATGCTTAGGACAATAATCAATTTGAATTGAATGCTGAATTTTTTATGACACGAGCAAGAAGGGATTGAGGGATATGTTGAGAAGATAATTGGGTACGGTTGAGAGCTAACAGACTTCTAATTTTCCTGAAATAGAAGCAATATAAAGGACATTGCGATCCATCTAACTGGTCTCAATAAATTTGAAGACTGTTAAAATAGGAGGTATTGCAATCGGTAGTTGTATAGGAGGTATTGCTCTAAGGCAGTGAGAGAAGAGGGTAAAGTTTCAGGCATATAAAGCACAAGTTTAGGAGACATCAGGAAGTACTCACTTCGATTGGCGAGCGTCAAGAACTGGAATGGGTTATCCAGAACAGACAACTGGAACTATTCTGGAAACATGACATTAAATAAATGAAATAGGCTTTGAGGAGCATTTTGTGGCTTTTTTTTTTTTTTGTTATTTCTATGTTGTTGGGACAGAATAGCATAGGTTTATTTTAGGTCTGACTCATTCTATACAACAGAGAGTGATCGATTAGGTAGGAAAAACTGACTCACTTTCATCCACTGCTTGAGGAAACCGTTCAACCGAGTTTTTTTTAAGTATATAGAAAACCAAATATTCTAATGTTTCAGATCGTGAAGGCAAAATACAAAGCTCCTCTCTTCCCCTACCTATTGCCAAGGTCTCACGATACTGCAGACAAGCTGCCGTTTGTCATTCCAGACTGTGTAACCTCTAATGTTCAGGTGAGTGGTAACTTGAGCTGTCGATGGCATTGTGTCAAATGCATTGTAACGCAGAAACCTTTAATCAGTTTGGATCAACGTTTCTTTCAGGTCCTCCGATCAGTTGAATGTTGGTCTGCTGGTTCATGTGAAAGTTCCATCTACAATGCTTATTTGCAAGTGATTCGTGACAGTGAACACTTCATATACATTGAGGTAAAAATGAACCAGTAAAAAGGCTTATAATTTGATCTTAACTTACATTTCTGCCATGTAAACTTTGTTTTGATCCAGTGTCAGCATCCTGAATTTACAACTTGTGCTAAACAACACTATGCAGATGTAGATTTAATCTCACGCAGTCATCTTCTTCGTTTTCTCTTAGAACCAGTTTTTCATCAGCTGTGCGGATGAACGAAATGTGTACAATCGGATTGGAGATGTTATTGTAGATAGGATTCTCAAAGCACACAAGTGAGTTGGTTTCAAAAGCATCTCCTAAGTTATCTGACTCCAAACTCCCAAGTTCAAAATAACTACTTTTGTGCCCAAACAATCCTGCCATTTCAATGCATGATTCAATGATGCGACAAAATTGATTTGAAAAGTCCCGGAATGGGGCCAAATGGGTTCATAAAACTGTCAAATTTATTCGATATAGTACCTCTTCCTATTCTCGATGTGAGACAACATAAAAAGACAATCCTTTTATCAACTCTGCTGATGCTAGTTCTGAGTAATTCAAGAGGAGGGTGTTCTGGTTCTCTTTCTCTCCCCCCCCCCCACCCACCCCCTCCCTCTTTCACGTCAGGAAGACGTCCAAATGCGCTGGAAAATGAGGAGTTTGCATCCGAGCTGAGGTTTGGGATCAGAGAGTGGGTGAGGTCAAGTTGACCAAAGGCACAGTCGAAAAGGAAGGTCTTGAGGTGGGTCCTTAAGGAGGCGAGGAAGGGGGCGAGGCTTAGGGTATCCAGGATGGAGTTTCAAAGGGGGCAGAAAAGCTGAAGGCCTGACCTGGAGCAGGCCAGTGCCCGCTGAGCAGAGGAATAATAATAATCCTTACATTTGATATAGCGCCTTATCACATTTTAAAATCCCCCAAACTAAATGTGATTCACAGATCAGACTCCTTTGTTGTTGGAGGAAGAAGATTTACGTTCATTAATGGTGCTTCATATTGCACACGTATTAATTAATCTTTTCATTTTTTTTCTCAGTGCGGGGAAGACATATCGTGTTTACATTCTCGTTCCGTTATTACCTGGATTTCAAGGCGACATAACAACTGGCGGGGGGAATTCAATCCAGACCATTCTGCACTTCACTTTCCGGTAAACCAATTCTCCTGAGATCACTGCGTTTGCAGATCTATGTTATGACAATAATGCTTGCATTTGATATAGCGCCTTATCACGTCTGCCTCTAAAATCTCAAATTTGGTAATAATAAAGGGACTAAAACCCCAGTCTACAATTACATTTATAGAGGGCCTTTCACGTCGGGAGGACGTCCCAAGGCGCTGAACAATCAGTGTTTCGGACCTGAGCTGGTGGTCGGGATCAGGGAGGATGGAGGGCGGAGGGGAAGTAGGGTGATCGAAGGCACAGTCAAAGAGGAGGATCTTGAGACAGGTCTTGAAGGAGGCAAGGGACGGGGCGAGGTGGAGGGACTATGGGATGGAGTTCCAGAGGGTGGGGGCAGAGTGGTTGAAGGCCTGTGGTGGGGTGGGCGAGGCAGAGACGTGAAGCAGCCTGGAATCCACTGAGCGGACAGACTGGGCAGGTTGGTAGGGGGTTAGGAAGTTGCAGATAGGGGGGAGCAAGGCCATGGGGGGGGGGGGGGGGGTTTGAAGGTGAGGACCAGGATCTTGAACTGTATCCTCTGTGTGATGGGAAGCCAGTGGAGTCGGGCGAGGATAGGGGTGATAGGGTCATGGAGCCTGGTGCGGGAGAGGACATGGGCTGCATAGTTCTGGCTGATCTGCAGCCGATGGAGGGAGGAGTCGGGGAGGCCGACAAGCAAGGAATTTCCATAGTCGAGCCTGGATGTTATAAATGCGTTTACTGCTAAATAACTCTTTCAATTTGTTTTAATCTAGCACCATGTGCAGAGGGGAGCATTCAATCATAGAACGCTTAAAACTCGACAGTAAGTGTTTCTAACGTTTTGTCTGTTTCTACAATTTGCTGCCTACTTATTGGATTCTGACTGGCTCTTCATTAAAGGAAACACTCTTCACTCTTCACCCAAAGCAGATGGGATTCAAATGGGATCTCAAAGTAGAGAAAGTCAGCTCTCTGGGCAAGGCTATCAATGCTTTTCTGTTGTTCAAAACCAGGCAGACGAGATTGCTCTTGAGTCAGGCAGGCTGTAAACTCAGCTGTAAGTAGAAATTCAAGATATAAAAGCTAGTTATTTCAGTTTCTCAGTTAGAAGGTTATAAAGACCTTTAATGGTGCAATTGGTGGGCATGTCAAGGTCAGGATCAGGTTTATTTTTGACATCATTTGAACAACTCTGTCCTTGCTCAGAAATACATTAAGGTGTGATGTTATTTACTTAGGAATCAAAGACTCGCATTTGCAATTCATTTTTTTGTGTGTTCAGTGAGTTGGATTTGCATTCGTTCCTTTAACCTCTGATAATTTAGGCACTCCTGGTCATTGAGCCAAGTGGGGTGAGGTGAAAAGAGAAGCTATCACACCCTTGTGTTATTTTTTTCTTGTTCCGCAGTGGGGGACGACTGGGTCAAATACATATCGTTTGCTGGGCTGAGGACCAACGCTGAGCTGGACAACAAATTGGTGACGGAACTAATCTACGTCCATAGCAAAATGCTGATTGCTGATGATAGACAAGTAATCATCGGTGAGTGTACCCTGAAGGTCCTTTTACAGTTTCAACAACAATAACAACAACAAATTACATTTGTATAGCTCCTTTCACGTTGGGAGGATGTCCCAAGGCGCTGGTAAGAATTTCTAGGTGGATTGTATTTAAATAGCATTATTTAATGTCACATTGTCACTTGCACGTCTAGAAGTAAGGCTGGGAACTGAAATTCACCTAAGTGTTCAAGCATTACTTTTCGTGTCTGGACTATACTTACTGTAATGTACAGTGAGTTTCGATGTCTTTCCTTCTCTCCCAACAGGTTCGGCCAACATCAATGACCGCAGCATGCTGGGGAAGCGTGACAGTGAGATGGCGGTTCTTGTTGAGGACACTGAGATGGTGACATCCATCATGGACGGTGAGGAGTATCAAGCAGGAAAGTTTGCCCTACGTCTCCGGCTCCAGTGTTTCAAGTACGTTAAATCCCTTGTGTCTGTTCTATGTGCCTCAATGAGAATTGTGGCTAATGTTAAAAGTGGGGTGATAGCAACAGTCTTGCCTCTCTCTTCAGTTTTCTGGTACTTTTGGAGTCAGTGGAACCATTTATCTTTTTCTTCTCTTCCTTGCATATAGGGTACAACTTGGAATACTTGATGAACACACTCCAGATATTCAGGATCCAGTGAGTGACCGATTTTTCCAGGAGATCTGGAATGCAACAGCCACGACAAATGCAGCTATTTATGATCAGGTGAGTTTGACCACAAGAGGAAGAAACCAAGTCATTGGAGTTTATCCCTCGACCCAAGTTAGATCAATATTACAAAATGAACATATTGATCTTTTCTTGGAAGTGCAAATTGATGCCCAAGTGAACTTCTGAATCCAATGATAATAATAATCCTTGCATTTGACATAGTGCCTTATCACGTCGTTGAGATGTCTCAAAGCACTTCACAGAATATATTCTAAAGTGAATTGACTGTATACTTTGTGGGCAAAATGTGGCAATCAATTGCACACAGCAGTGTCCTACAAACAGCCATGGATTGAGTGATTAGATTATTATTATTTGTGAAGGGAATAAATGGCTATAACCATTTCAACCGCATTTTTCCTTTTTTAAAGTATTTTTTAAAGTATTTTTTTACTTTAACCCCAAAACATTGTACAATGAGTTGATATCATGTGGCAAGTGATGATTATCCAGGAGAATGCATCAGTATCTTTTGGGCCATCTTAAATAGCTTTAGAAGCATTCTCAGGTACAGAATTGTTTGCAAATCCTTTGAACAAATGCTTTCCGTCTCTTCCCTTAGGTTTTTGGATGTCTTCCTTCCAACTCTGTTCGCAGTCTTAGCATGTTAAGAGACTTTGTGTCGACCCCGGTTCTTGCGGCTGAGGATCCTGAGCAAGCTCGGGAAAAGCTTAAAAGTATTAGAGGATTCTTGGTGCAGTACCCACTCTTCTTCTTGTGTGAAGAGTATCTTCTTCCCCCACTCAATAGTAAGGAGGGAATGATTCCTACGGAAGTTTGGACTTGATGAAAATGGTTTCCATTTAGCTGATGGCACAGCAAAAGGTCTCCCCCACCAGTAGTCTGGAGTTCTTACACCAGCAGCAAACTGCAAGTTTTTCAATTCTGAACTTCTTTGTTATTCCTGCATAGTGGTCCGTTTCAAGACTGTTTGAATGGCTTAAAACACTGATAGAATTAACTCGAATGGCTTCCGTTGTGAGGGATACTGATGCATTATTGCTGGACTATATGGACACTTTGTGAGAACAGGTGAGCCAAACAAATTTCAGCATGTCTTTAAGCCCATTCTGAAAACTTGGGAGATGATGAAAAAGACCTGAATGTATACTCTGACTAAATCCATAACTCTGGATTGCTTTCAGAGAGCAGTGCATGTTAATTATCCTCTTAATTTCTTTTCTGTTGTCTTTTGTGAAGTGTTGCACGTCCTGTGGTAGGAAGAAATCTACTCGTGCCCACCGCGGTCAAAGAGTTGGAGAAATAGTGTTACAGGGAATTCGTTTGGCCTATGTGTCAGAAATTGAGAAATTTGGAAAATTTTCTTTGGGAAGGAATCTGCTTCAAACAGAATAAGAAATAAGGACATTTCCTATAAATTTAACTGTGTGGGTGGGTGGAGGGAGTTGGGGGGAGCAGATTTGAAGGCCTGTTGACTTTATTGATTATCCACACTTCAGCTTTGAATGTCTTCGAACACGCATAGTTTAAATAACACTAGACTTAATGTAACTTTAGTTCCAATACAAAGCCCTCATGTGGTAATGGAAGGAGTTGGATCGGTTCACCGGTAGAGAAACTAGCACAGGATATATAGTGACCACTTTCTTGACGTAATTCCACTCGGCCACCAAGTCTACAAAGTCTGGAATCCATGAGGTTACAACAAAAAGATATCTTGATGACGTGATAAGGCGCTATATTAAATGTCAGGATGATTATTATTATAAAACAAATCAAACAATTTCAACTTACTGGAACAAATCAATATTTTTCTATTAAAAGTAATTGAGAGTGTAGTTAACTTTTTTTTGTATTCTTATTTTCCTCTATGGTAAAGCACCTGGGTAAATACCAGTAAATATCACCTTTAAATAAAGCTACTTGCAGTCTGCAGCCTATCTTTTTGTGTACCTGTTCCAGAAAAACATCTCCAGTTATAAGTTTCAGGAATAAGTTTCACAATTCAAAGAAGCGGGAGAGTTGGACAGATTAATCTCACAATGACTAAAATCAATTTATATTGCAGCATTCCATTTTATATATATATATTTACATATGCTTTTTGTATGCATGTTCTTATGGGGGAGGGGGGGGGGAGGAAGAGATATGAGTTATTGCTCTGAAGTCTCAAGACTAGAACTGATTCTGAAATGAAAAATAGCCTCTCTCCCCCACCCAGTTCAGATAGTACACTTATGCACAAGAATAAAAATTGCTTCCATAGTTTAATGCTGTAGAAGTTTCCAGATGTGTTTGCATGGTTTCCTTTCAGCAGCTCACACTGATAAATGTGATATTTTGTGATACTTATAATAAAATATGAATTTGGATTCTGATTCGGTGTCTGTTATTACACATTGTTTATTATTTTTATGTATTATGGAGCTTGTTCGTTACATACGTTTTAAGAATCTGAATATTCCTGTCAAAATTCAATGGTGGTACAAATAATTGTTCTTACAGATTTTTTCAAAATTCTGAACCTCTGGGAAAACATTGATGTACAATCTCCACATTGTAGATTAACACTCTTGAGAACCCTTCTCAATGTCCTCCTTCTGTTATAGAAATTGACAGCATTGAGAGAGGACAGTCAGCACACCATGCCTGCAAAAGGTGCAGAAATCCATCCTCATTAAAATAATCCATGTTAACTGACGGAATGAAACGGCAAAAGGTGTTTACTGCACAACATCAATGTTTACTGTGAAATGTTCTGTCTATAAATAGACTTGTAGCAGATTTTCTTCCTCTTGTGTGCGTTGAAAGTGAGTCAGTAATGGCGGCTGAGATGAATGGGCTGGGAATTATGGTTTGACGAGTACAGAAAAGCTGGTGATGTGTGATGGAATTGTGGAGTTTTCAGAGGGATTATTCCTTAAATAACCCACTTTTGAAATGTTACTGGGCTAATTTACAGTATTTGGAAAACTCACAAACCAGTGCTTTCCCAATTTTTCAATAATTTTCAATAATGGTAGCCCAGTTACTTTCCCTAGAGCAGGGTGGTCCAGCCGGCAGCCCCGTGGGCCGATTTCATCCGCCCCCACTCCTCCCTCCATTTCATCTGGCCCGCCCGCTTTCTCCATAAGCCGTAAATGTTATCTTTCTGGAAGGGAGGCACAAAAATATTGCTTATGCGGCCTGCAGATGTTCCTCAAATCGGGCATCCGACCCTCGGCAAGCCAAAAGGTTGGAGCAGCCTGCCCCAGAGTACCCCACGCATACACTGGGAATTGAACTCAGGTCTCTCGCTTGCAAAGCGAGTGGTTAGAGCACTCGCTTTGCAAGCGAGAGACCTGAGTTCAATTCCAGGCAGAGGGCGAAACCTTGGGCACGTTTCCTCACTCCACACACCTAATAATAATCCCTCCAAAAAAGCAAAACAATAATAAATTGGTCATTTTCAATCTACGACTGTTTGTGGGACATCGCTGTGCGCACTTGGCTTCCGCGTTCGCCCACAAATATACAGTCAATTCACTTTACAGTATATTCTGTGAAGCGCTTTGGGACGTCGAGAAGACGTGAAAAGCGCTGTATCAAATGCAAGGATTATTATTATTATAAGCCTTGGCTCTTGCCAACCTACGCATAATTAGGGAAGCAGGATGCATCCTTCCAGGGAGAGAGAGAGAGAGAGAGAGAGTGCGTATTCTATTCCAACAATCGATCTCTGGGATTTCCATGTGTAGGTGGGATGCATGGAGTTCTCAGCTTGGTTTGGAGACTCTTAAGCAACGGTGATGGGCTTCCATGCGTGTCAGACACCCGGTCGGCCCCCTTTAAATCCTGCCGAGAAATATACCTGGGGAGGTGGGGCGGAGCATGATGACCTTCAATTTTTGCATAGCTTCCCCGGAAGCCGGCATTTCAGACGGATAGTTGTAGCTCTCGCCCACTAGATGGTGGTCCAAGCACACGCTTTATAATTCGATGCTGCTTGCTGAATGCAGGCAAGAAAGTTGCACCAGAAATCGAGCGGTTTTAAACAGACAACAACAACTTGCATTTATATAGATGGCGCCCTTCACGGGGCGTGGGGGGCGGGTAGCTGCCCCGAAGCGCTCGACAGCGGCCAGGCAACCCAGCTCACCTTTTTGGGGGGTCAGAAACCCGCTGACCCCCCCAAAAATAATGATTTTACGGGTGAAAGCTGCACAGCGACGCTGTAGGAATATTCCGAAGGTCACCGCGGGGGGAACTCTGCCTTACGGTTAACGTCTCAAAGCAAAGAAATTTCAAGCGAGAGGATCCGGGTTTGATTCCCGGGCGGGTTGGGGCGAAACCTTCGGTAAGTTTCCTTACACCACAGGAGGAACTCGTTGTCAAGTCACTTTCCGGGAGTAATAATCCCTTCAAAGAAAATGTGGTCACTCGATCCACGACTGTTTGTGGGACATCGTTGTGTGCAATTGACAGCCGTGAAGTACAGTGACTGTATATTTTGTGCTACGGTGTTGTTGAGGGAATAAATTCACTCACTTGAAGGAATAAGTAATAATAATCCCTAATAGTAACAATATTATTACTGTTATAAGTTCACTCACTTGAGGGAATAAGTAATAAATTCACTCACTTGAAGGGAATAAGTAATAAGTTCACTCACTTGAAGGAAATAAGTAATAAATTCACTCACTTGAAGGGAATAAGTAATAAATTCATAAAGAAGGAAATGAGTAATAAATTGACTCACTTGAAGAAATTAAGTAATAAGTTCACTTATTTGAAGGAATCAGTAATAAATTCACTCACTTGAAGGAATCAGTAATAAATTCACTCACTTGAAGGGAATCAGTAATAAATTCACTCACTCGAAGGGAATCAGTAATACATTCACTCACTTGAAGGGAATAAGTAACAATACTCCTCAATAGTAACAACATGATTACCGTTATAAGTTCACTCACTTGAGGGAACACGACGGAATAAATTCAACTCACCGCTGCCGAGAAGCCACGAGGACAAACGTGCGAAGCGGAGAGCCGACCTTCGACGGGCGGGAGGGCGGGCGGTTGGCGCCAAGCGGACGACCGATGGGAGGAGCGGCGTACGCATGCGCACGGTGGCAGGGTTGCCTAGTTACGGAGGCGGAGGCGGGGGGGGGTGGCGCGTGCCCGACCGTGCGCATGCGCGCGGTGGCAGTTCGGCTCTGCCGTCACGGCGCAGAGGCCGGGCGAGCTCGGGGCGCCTGCGCAGAGCCGTCAGGCTGGCTGGCTGTACTGGTGGGCGACCGTTAAACCGCCGCGGCTCGCGCTGACCGCCCCCCCCACCCCCCCCCCCCACCAGGCCGCGCGAGCGAACCTGCGAGCTGCGCACGCGCGGCGGGGCGTTGCCACGGGTTACGCGGGGGGGGGGGAGGAGGCGCGCGGAGCGGCGCCGAGCGGCGCCGAGGGGCTGGCGCGCCTGCGCAGAGGAGAGCGGAGCGGAGCGAGCGAGCGAGAGGAGAAAGGGAGAAGAAGGTTCGTTCCATGTCGGCTCGAGCCGGCGATGGAGGCGGAGGAGAAGAGCTCGGCGCTCTCCCCTGAGCCTTGAGGGAGGCCCGAAGGTGGTGGAGGAGACGGAGAAGACTCCTGCCTACCTACCTGCCTGCGCTGCCTCGCCTCGCCCTCACCTCGCCTCACCTCAGCGAACCTCCTCAAGTTGGGGGTGGGTGGGAGGGGAAGAGAGAAAGGGGTTAATTTTCCGTGAGGGAGAGCGAGAGAGAGAGAGAGAGACAAAAAAAAACTTTCTGACGGGTAGAAAAAAAAAGGGGGGGGGATTTTTTTTTAAAAAAGAAATCTCTAAATTAAAGTGTTGTTGCCCCCTCAACCCACCCCCCCCCCCCCCACCACTCTTCCTCTCTCTTTCTCTCTCACTCTTTCTCACTCACTCACTCACCTTGGCTCTCCTCCTCCTCCCTTCCCTCCTTCCTTCCCTCCCTCCCTGTGTGTGTGTGTGTGTGTGAGGGGGCGCGGTTGGGTGTTTTAGCTGAGATTTTTTTTTTATCCGCCTTCATTCCCTCTCTCACCTACATACGCTCCTGAGAGAGAGAGAGAGAGAGAGAAGGAAGAAAGAAAGAGAGAGACAGTGAGTGAGTGAGACAGAGAGAGAAAGAGAGAGAGAGAGAGAGAAAGAAAGAAAGAGCAAGAAGATGGCGAGTGAGCCTCCGGCCCGCAGCCTGGATGACATCGACCTCTCGGCTTTACGGGTCAGTTAACCGTTGTCTTCGTTCGTACCCGTCTTGCCGTTGACACGAATAATAACGACGGCGATGGCGCTTGGGTCGGACGGCGGCGGCGCCTCGCCCGCGTGGTGGAGCCGCCTCGAAGCGCCCGACGAGGGACGCCGCGCCGCGAACGACCACCGCTTGAAGCCGTGCCTCCGACGCCGGCGCCTTGCCGGGGGGTCGTGGCGACGCCGGCTCGCAGGGCCTCGCGGGGAGGCGCGGCAAGTCGTAACGCCGAGAGCGGCGCCTCACCCTGCCCTTGAGGCGTCTCAAAGCGCCTCGCGCCGGAAAGCGGATCGGCCGTGTGTGGATGTTAAGTGGGCGGAACGCAGCAGCCAATTGCATCCAGCAGCGTCCCCACGCAAACCGGCGTGGATTGAGCGACCAAAATTATCGTTCGCAGGGACGATTACCCCCCCCCCAAAAAAAGCGATCTGCCGAATGACTAGCGCCCCTTTATTCCCCCTCTTTCACCCCCACCACCTGTAATCTAAAAAGATATAAACCCCAATTTCTCTTTTAAATGTCTCGCCCTTTTTGGTTTTCGCTAAACGTAAAAAAAAACCTAACAGTATTTTGCCGACAAAATAGTCAATTAACTTTACAGTATATTCTGTGAAGCGCTTTGAGGTGTCTCAACGACGTGATAAGGCGCTACATCAAATGCAAGGGTTATTATTAAGTAGGAATCCAGTCGCTTTCTGGGGGTAATAATCAGCTTAAAAAAAAATGTGTATATATTTATTTTGGTCAATCAAACCACAACTGCTTTGGGGAGACTGCTGTGCTTAAATGGCTGCTATGTTTCACCCACAAAATATCCAGCGTGAAGGGCTTTGAAACGTCTCACCAATGTGGTAAGATTTTGTATCAAATGTAAGGATTATTATCATTATTAATATTAATACACCACTGTGAACTGAGGGTACACCATTGCCTTTTGCATGGTTTGTTTTTGGGAAGGAGGGGTGTGGGAAGACGAGGACTGTGGCCTTACAGGTTGTTGAGCACTTTGAAAAAAAACCTTTTAAAGTCTGGTCAAATCTTTCACTGCTCTGCTCGCTCATTTTTGTTTGGCTGTGTGTTTTGGATCGAATTTGGGGGGAAAAATGGGTCGAGCTGGCATTAGCGACACGTTGTTTTGTACTTTATACAGTAGTATGTAGAAGCGTATAGATGCGGCATGGATACAGGCCATTCGGCCCAACAATTCAGTGCCTTTCATATTGGGAGGCTGTCTGGAAGCAATTCATGGGAATTACTGTAAAGGGTAATGACTGTATTTTGTAGGTGCCTGTAAAGCAGCTTTAAGAAGCTTCAAGGTATGTAAAAGATAATGGAAGGGATTGACGTGCTGCTGTATGAGTTTACCAAAATAAGAATGCTGGCATTGGATATCGTCCCATATCATATCGTTGAAACGCCTCAGAGCGCTTTGCTGGACTTACCATGAAGTGGATTTACCGTGAAGTGTATTAATTGTATTTGTAGGTGAAAGTGGAAGTGAGGACTTGATCTTAATATTAGAGAGTGGATGATTGGATGTGAGTCAGAGAACATTTCTTCATGCAGAGAGGGGGTGGTGAGAGTGTGGAACGCACTTATGCCCCAAAGGCCTTACAGACACAATCGATTGGGTTGTTTAAACAGGAGTTGAGGCTGATAGACACTTGGGAAATGAAGGGTATGGAGAAAAGAGGCGTGCGTTTATAAGATCTTCCATGACCCATTAATCTGTCAGCAGGCTTGATGGACGTCTTGTGTTACTGTGTTTTACCTGAAACATATTTATTTTGATTCACACCTAATCTTAAGCAGGATATTGACACCTCTCTCTTTTGTTACCCCCCCACCCCCACCTTTCAAATTATGATCGGATGTAAATATATTGTTGTTATTATCATATACACTGTTTGTGCAAAACCAGTGTTTAGATTTTGGCTCCATTTAACACAAAGATTTACTGCAATAGTGTTTACAGAGTAACTTCGCAGGGCTCTGTGGTGAATTGAAGCAACTGCAAAGACTAGTTAGTCAGTGCTTTTCCTCGTCGGGCATGTTGCAGGACAAGTTTGGCTTTACATTGTTGAAGCTCCCTTTCCAATAAGGTGCACAGAATGTGCACTTGCATTTACTGAATGAAAATTCCGCAGTCAGGCACGGTATGCTAGAGGGACGACGATAAATTTTGGTTTGGTTAATATATAATGTAGCTTTTGTAAGCTTTTTGTCCAGATCCTGGATTAATGGCTGCATGTTCATGTGAATTTAATTTGTGCTGCATTTTTTTAAAAATGAGCTTCTCCTCTTCCACCCCCCCCCCACCCACCACCCCCCAATCCTCCAAATTATCACGATTTAATGCATATAAATAAATTGCCTTTCCACATGTCATCAAAGCTGTGGCGTGTTTGAGTACAGCAACAGGAAACCAATGATGATATGGACATGTATGGTCATTATATCCGATGTTCTTGGGAACAAAATGATTAGGTTTGTTGCAGGAATAGTGTTGAGCAGAAAGCATTGAAGTGCTGCTGTTACTGCTCTTCTATCTCTTGTTCACATATCTTTTTTTGGTATTAGGCTCTAACCTCAACCTCTGGAACTCCAGCCCACAGTCCCTCCGGCTCGCCCCCTCCTTGCCTCCTTCAAGACCCGTCTCAAGACCCTCTTCAACCGTGCCTTTGATCACCCTCCTACCCCTATCCTCGCCACCCTCACCCCTCCTGATTCCCAACCCCCGGCTCAGGTGCAGATCCCTGACTGTCCGGCGCTTTGAGACATCCTCCTGATGTTAAAGGCGTTGTGTAAATATACTTTGTTGTTATGAGTATGCAACGTGTGTATGATCTTTGCAATAGAGGAAATGCGTCTGATTCTGTCTGAAGGAATAATGATTGTCCGATGTTGTATTGCAGTCTGTAATCATCTCCTGATGGTTTATTTATTATGTTACACATTTCGCCCACAAAATATAGCCAGTTGACTTTAGTGTATCTTCTGTGAAGCGCTTTGGGACGTCTCGAAGACGTGATAAGGCGCTGAATCAAATGCAAGGATTATTATTAGTATTATGTAAGCGGGCTGCTTAGACTGGATGTGAAGTCTTTCTTTTTTTTTTGCAAGTGGCCAGGTTCATATCTGCATTGCTTTTTAGCCCACAGATTTGTTTTTGCTGCTAGTCGAAATGCTTTTTTCCGTTCTGTTGAATGATTAGACAAAAAAAATCATCCTTCGGCTCAATTGTTGCCCTTCTGGATTTCGAAGTGATGTACTGTATGGAATTTAGCGCCGGGACAGGGTGATACACACAGAATATTACACGTTTCAAATTAGTGCTACTTTCTTAGGGAGACTGTTTTATAAAATGTAAAGTCTCATGGCGAAGTTGGTCTCTGAAGTTTATGTTGTACCTTTTTAGGGCGGGGGGGGATTCAGTCAGATGTCCTGACGCCTGCAAAAATTCATCACCATGCTTAATAATATCCAAATTGAGAGTTCGCACCTAGGCTTTGAGCCACTGATATACGTGGGCAGTAATTTATCCCCTTACCATCTGCTATTGTGGTGTGTGTGTGTGTGCGTGAGGGAGAGAGAAAAAAAAATGTCTGGGGTCTATGCAAGAAATAATTTCCTTTGAATTAAAACATCCATCTTGTATTGCTCAGGGTCACCTGATTCCACATGTAATAAGCCAGTTGGTGGCCACACATTTGATCACCGGAGTGCGAAGTTCTGGCAAAAGCTCCAGTTTCTTGCCGGGATAAAGATATTTTGTGAATAACAACAGCAACTTGGACTTATATAGCGCCCTCCACGCCGGACGGCCGCTCAGCGGGCTTCACGGTAACGGATCCCGGGACCGAGCCAGGGGGAGGGGGAAGAAGGTGACCAAAGGCGCGGTCGAAAAGAAAGGTCTTCGGCAGAGACCTGAAAATGGGAAAGGAGGGAGCGAGACGAAGGGAGTGAGGAAGGCAGTTCCAGAGCCTCGGGGCGCAGTGGCTGAAGGCACGGCCGCCGAGGGTGGAGCGGAGGACTCGGGGGACGAAGAGGAGGCCAGACCCGGACTAACGAATATATGTAGAGCCTAATGGTGTTAAAATTGAGCAGTGATTCTAGTGATTGAAAAGCCACAAAGATACCCTGATGGACCTTATTACTGGCACTGCCGATCGCAGACCAGCTGGCCTGTTGGTAGGACTTGGAGGGGCAGTAATTGCTGAGGGCATTTGGCTCCTTATAACCCTGTCACCTAAAGCCAGAATGGGAAGAATGTATCCCAAAGTTGGATAAGCAGTGTTCACAATGGCGACCTATGTGGTTTAGCTGGTTAGACTCCAGTAGTTGCTGCATTAAACACCCCGGTGGACCCCAAGCATTGGCTCTTGCCAACTTGCACCTAATAATCTGTTGGGTTCGTTCAGGGAGTAAGTGGACATTCCATTCCAGATGCAGGAAAATCTGCGAAGTAGGTTGAATATATACGTAGGGCACGAGCTGGTTTAGATAATACTCCTTGCATTCGTGGAATCCCGTACCTTACAACAACAACAAAATTGCATTTATATAGCGCCTTTCACGTTGGGAGGACATCCCAAAGCGCTGGAGAATCAGGGTTTAGGACCCGAGCTGAGGGTCGGGATCGGGGAGGGTGGATGGCAGGGGAAGTATGAAGGGTGACAAAGGGCACGGTCGAAGAGGAGGGTCTTGAGACGGGGCTTGACCGAGGCAAGGGAGGGGCCAAGGCGGAGGGACTGCAGAATGGACTTCCAGATGGTGGGGGCAGACTGGCTGAAGGCCCACCTGCCAATGGTGGGGCGGGCGAGACGGGACACGTTAATCTGTATGCTGGTACAACAGCACCAATTCTTAAACTAGTACTGTAATAGTAATTTGCAGTGAAGAATCACATAGCGATGACCCATCTGCTCCCTCTGCTCAGCGGGCTTTGTGTCCCACACCCTGCCAACCCCACCATC